GTACATGTTTTTATACTTTTTATTCGCAATTAGAAACTCCTTTAATAGCCTTATATATATATATATATATATATATATATATATATATATATATATATATATATATATATATATATGTATAGAGGCCATTTCAATGACTCTAAACACGATATCTCTGCAATATTTTAGTAAAGAGATGAGTATCTTGGTATCTTGGAGATTCCAGGTGCTGTAGCATCATGCCTAGTTTACCTTATCATTGCAATGTCGTTAAACTAACCGTATACCTTTTCGAATTGGTTAGATCTGTAGAAATTGCTCATATTCTTGTACCGTCTAGAAAAGAGCTGATAGCATGCAAACGACAGAACGGATTTTCTTGATTTATAGCTAAAGACACTCTCGATCAAATCACCTTTCAAACAAAAAAAAAACTAAATTAAAATCGGTTTGTCCGTTTACTTTTCGTGGCGTTACGATCCCACAGACAGACACATACATATCCCATTCACAGGACTTATAAAATATTATGAAATAATAAAATTAACAAAAAATCTAGATTTTTTCATTAATAACTCCACTCGCGTGGTCTGACTTCTTGTTAACCACAAAATAAAACCGATAATGAAATGAATTAAATTATACTTTATTTAAACAGACTTATACAAGCACCTATTAATCGTCACATATTTATTTTTAAAATTTAAATTGAATGTCAGTATGTAAGTCCGTGAGGCAGTTCTGCTGAGAAGAGCCGGTAAGAAACTCAATAGTTGCTCTTTCCTGGAAGTTTTTGGACAGAACTACAATTTTCTTTAAAACAAAAAAACTAAAAACTTGAATAAATACCTACAAAAAAACAAAAGTAAAAACTTTGTATCAGAAACATGACACAAACACATATCAAATTTCAGCGAAATCGTTAGAGCCGTTTCCGAGATCGCCGGTATAAATAAATAAATATACAAGAATTGCTCGTTTAAATATATTAGATAGATAGATTTAATAAGGTACTGATTATTAAAAATATAATTATAATATTCTATCACAAACGATGTTAACAATTATTATACAATTAATAACGCATTAATAAACTAAAAACTCGAAAAGTGGAATTGGGTCAAGAAATGGTACGAAATATGTATTTATTACTTTTTGTCTAAGGTTGAACTCAAAATCGCTAAAAAATTATAGTTCCCTTAGAGTCGATATGATATTTGTTTCAAAATCAGCGAAGATATATTAAATGTGAAAGTTTGTGAGTATGTATGGTTGTTTGTTACTCTTCCACGCCAGAACGGCTGAACGGATTTGGATGAAATTTGGCACAAAGATAGATTATAGTCTGGAATGATACATAGGTACTTTATATGTCAGATAAATATACAGTTCCCTAGGCATAGATTTGTTTTTGTTTTTCTAGGAGTGAGGGTGAGCCGCTAGTATACCTACATATAAAAAAAACAACTAAATTGAGTATCTTTTAAATTTCGTGGATTTTAACTTAAATTTAAGAAGAATAACGTTGATAGAGAAGATTACTTTGATAAATTAATCAAGAATATTATCAAGAATAGTCTTGATAAAAATCAAATCTGTTATCGGATTAAGTTTAACTATTAGATTTTTTTTTTTCATATAAAGAAAACAACGCTAATATTACCTGATTTGCTGATTTTTCAATAAGTATATTTTTCATTATAATATATATATATATATATATATATATATATATATATATATATATAATGATACCCATTTGAAATTTAGTTTTTTTTAGCATTCGTTAATTTTATATAAACAATAACAAATCTATACATATAACCCCATCTCTGTATTCAGCCCTTTTTAACGTCCCACAGCTGGGGGTGGGCCTCTCTTCAATACCAGGGGGATCAAGCCATAGCCTACCACGCTGGTCAAGTGTGGGCGGACTGCACAGCACACTTTTGACAGCATATTAGGTTATCTCAGACATGCAGGTTTGCTCACGAGGTTGTCCTTCACCGTAAGACAAGTGGTAATCATGTTGGAAATGATTCCCAAATGAAAATATCTGAGCTACGAGGACGCCAGGACCTTGGAGCAACCCCGTGGTTGTTGTGGTCTGCTTTGGCAGATTAAGACGGGGGAAGGCTTTGTTGGGTTTTAGTGGGTAGTACTGGCTTTGCCGGTAAGTCCCACACCTCGTGCGTAAATGCATTTCCCAACGTTAAAAAAAAAAAAAAGGTAGGCTAACAGGTAAGCATCATTGCGTCAATATCTAATAATAACAGGATATAAGAAGAGAGCATGTGTCATAGAATTTACAAATTATTTTCACTTTTCGTAGTAATCAAGTCGTGGAACTTACAATATGCTTATCACTGATAGTGATAAGCTTTGAATGATTGTGGCCTGAGTGTTAGCGGGATAGTTTCGTGGTGGTAATATTGTTACATTTACGTGATAATGCATTATGCATTTGTTGTGGTATCTTCACAAGGTTCTTTTTTTAATATTTAGAAATGAATTTACGTATATAACCCGTTCCAAAAGAGGCTATGTGACTCACTAGATAGAAGAGCCTGCAGTATCCGTTAAAAACCTACGGAACCTTCTAAGGCTTAAAAGGGTGCGTAGGATTACTAACACTACGGCGCTCAGACGGCAGACCACATAAACCAGAGGATTGCTCTCACGGTCTACTCTGCTATCAGAGATATATCAGGAGCAAACCATCACCTCCGCGCGTCTCTTACCATCACAAGCAACTGTAAACGCACAAACATAATGGAAATTCTCTATCATTTAAAAAAAACTACGTACAACTGCTTGTAATTTTTTTATTAATTTTATGTACAAAAATTTTTTCTAAATGAGTTCGCACGATGGTGATGCCAGTAGAAAAATTGAGTTTGGTAGTTTAAAAAGGTAACAAGCCATCAAAAGAAAGCAGGTAGAAGAAAATCTGTATGGGTCTCTATATAAATATATAAAAGGTGATGGTCAAGAAGCTTCTAAGTCCTTAAGGTCTTTCAGTGACTAAAAGTGACATGTTATTGCATTCTAAGCCTAACTCAGCTCAAATAATTTTTTCGACATCGTCTGGGATGCCGCTGCTACCTAGCGATGATAATAGTAAGTAAACAACATCATTGTTACTCCACCGCCGCCGCCGTCGTCAACACTATCCAGCCAGAAATACGTATATAAATCTATGTCTACATCCATGAGTGGCGGAATTGAAAATCTGAATACTTAAAATGACCCAGCTTTATGGCCATCAACAACTACTGATGCAGACCGAAATGAAATTTCATTAAAAAGTCCTCCATCCGTGCTAAGATAGATTTTTTCCTGTAAACGATAGTCGACGGCGATTCAGTGAATAGGTATCATTACAATAAAATATTAGCTTATGGCGAAAAAATTGGATAAGCGCTGAATGATTTATTCACAAACAAAACAAGCTATTTACTTCTTCTGTCGATTGTCTAGAATAGAATATAAGAAATTGGGTCCAGTGCAGAAGTTTGCAATTGGAAACACTTGGGTAAATATTAAAGTTTCACGACTTCGACTTCACAAAGTTTGTATGTTAAAACGGTTAAATTTAGAGAACGGATTGTGAACGGATTATTTAATTTAGAGAAAGGGTTAAAAAGCTGTTCAACTATCGACTCTTTAGCCCAGAGGCTTTCCTTCATTGGCCGCCCAGAGTGAAGCGCAAGAGCCAAGTCCTTGAAAGGGTAGACGTGCTCAATCTGTAAAATAACGGGGAAACCCACAAGCACTTGCGATGGTAAAACCGGTGCACACTTCTCGATAACCTTAGCCGACCACACTGATGTTGTGCCCGAGGCGCTATGCCACAAGTGGGAGGCGAGTCACCGCCTGCCAAATATTGAATCTGAGACTGTTGAGAAGGCTTTGTAGCCCATCCAAACTCCATTCCATAGACTCTTTTAGTTTTCCATATTTTCCATAGTCCCTACGCATTGTCCGGACCATATTTAAGCAATTTCTTATGGGTTATTCAGAGATGGATGCTGGCATATGCGTCATATTAAACATTTTAAATCTCTTAAGGGGTCTCTAGTCTCTACGTGTTGGACCTTAGTGCTGCCCCTGGACACTATGAAAAATGCCGCCCTATTACCGCAACTTTGCATAAAGTGAATAGTTTCGATAATTATTTTGAAAAATGCAAAAATAATAATTTATAAGTGATATTAATTGTTCGAAATTCCAAAAATTTTGCTGCCCCTAAAAATTTGCCGCCCTGAGCACTAGCCCGGAGTGCTCCTATTGCGAATCTAGCGCTGCTAAAAAGATATAAATAATGTCCACTATGTCTGAAAAATTATTCAAAATGAGCTAATACAATTAATGGCAAGTCACGCAAAACCTGAAAATGTTGACTAAATAATTTTGTCTTCTTTGTGCTTGTTAACTTTTCTAAATTTCCAATATACAATTTTAAAACTCTAAATTCATTTATTTATAACTTTTACATTTCTCGTCTAGCATCATCATTAAAAATATTTTCAATTCACATAAATTCCATAAAAGACAAGGGCCTCGCAAAGATCTCCTGCCCGGGGCCTCGCAATGGCTAAGGCCGCCCCTGGTGGCCTGAGTGTTAGCGGGATAGTTTCGTGGTGGTAATATTGTTACATTTACGTGATAATGCATTAAAAATTTGTTGTGATATCTTCACAAGGTTCTTTTTTTAATATTTAGAAATGAATTTACGTATACAACCCGTTCCACAAGAGGCTATGTGACTCACTAGATAGAAGAGTCTGTAGTATCCGCTAAAAACCTACGGAACCTTCTGAGGCTTAAAAGGGTGCGTAGGATCACTAACACACTCAACTACGGCGCTCAGACGGCAGACCACAAAAACCAGAGGATTGCTCTCACGGTCTTCTCAACCTGCTCTCACGGTCTACTCTGCTATCAGAGATATATGAGGAGCAAACCGTCACCTCCGCGCGTCTCTTACCATCACAAGCAACTATAAACGCACAAACATAATGGAAATTCTCTATCATTTTAACTCTCACATTCCGATGGGACTACAACTCTACATGACCGGTGAGAGAGGTGCAGGACCAACATCTTTACATGCTCTCCGACGTACATCAGCAAAGTTGCAAAGTTTCGTAACAGACAAACCCAAAAGGCATTAACTAAGTAAATAATATAATGCACTGCAAAGATTTTTATCTTTATGTCTTAAGTGTATTGTTAAGTGAATTTTACATCCTACTAATAGGTATTATAAATGCGAAAGTTTGTGAGGATGTATGGATGTATAGATGTATGGATGTTTGTTACTTTCTCACGCAGAAACTACTGTATGGATTTTGATGAAACTTTACAATAATATAGCTTATACATTAGAATAATATAAAGGCTACTTCTTATCCCGGAAAAAATGTACGGTTCTCGTGGGATAGGTTTGTTTCTGTTTATCTAGAGCGAAGCGAGGGGTGAGCTGCTAGTATTATATAAATCGCAAAAGCCTAAGAAAACGCTATCATTTAAACCAAGCCAACAGATAACAGAAAGCGATAAGCAATGATAAAGATTCAACCATTTTGTGTACAACTCGTGAAATAACCTGGTCAATATGCTCTTTGTTTCTGAAGAGTTAGTTTTGGTCTAAATATCTTTGATAATAACGAGAAAGTGGGTTCGAGCTCGTGCAGTGTATGTGTTGTGAAACGTTAAATATTGTGAGATACATGTTTTAGGTATGTAATGATTTACTTATATTTGTACATTTTTAGATTTACTACATATATATATATATATATATATATATATATATATATATATATATATATATATATATATTTATATTTATACTAGCATTTGTATGTTCCTGTGTTCCAAGCCTTTTTGACCTCTTAAGGGATTGAAGAACCAAAAATTCTTTGCTAGCGAATTCCTTCTCTCTATGAGGAAACAACCTGCCAAATTTCAATTGAAAGTACCATTTTTTTTTAATATTTTTAAAGTGATTTATTTTTATTAAAATGCTGGTTAAGTAAATAGCTGAATTGAATTGAATTGAAACATATGATAGGTTCTTAGGGTATAATCTATTATCTATTCATAAGAAAGAGAATCATTAAAAGTATTATAATTATAAATCCCATTTTAATATTATAAATGCGAAAGTTTGGATGGATGGATGTTTGTTACTCTTTCACGCCAGAACGGCTGAACGGATCTGGATGAAATTTAGCGCAGAGATAGATTAGTCTGGAATAGCACGTAGGTTAATTTTTATCCCGGAAAAATGTACGGTTCCCGTGGGATATACCTATTTGTTTTTGTTTTTCACTAAGGACGAACTCTAGCGAAGCGAGGGTGAGTTGCTAGTATTATAAGCGGGAAACTTTATGAAGATAGAAGGATGGATGGCTGCTTGTTACTTTACCAAAAAACGATTGAACGGATTTTAATGAAATTTTACAGTAATATAGCTTAAATATCATAGTAGCACATAGACTAGACCAGAATTTATATAGATATAGGAATACATACATAAAAAGTAAAAACATAATGAATTGAATAGCTGATGCCATTAACCAATAATTCTAAGACACGACTTCTTTAAAAACATTTTAATTTACCCCTGAAAACCCAAATTTTTAATCTATACTAATATTGTAAAGAGTTTGTGAGTTTGTGACGTTGTAGGGAGTAATCTCTGGATCTACTGAACCGATTTAGATGAAATTTGGTAAAAAGATATTTTAAGACCCTGGCAAGGACATAGGATACTTTTATCCCGGAAATCATCCCTTAAGGGGGTGAAAATGGGGATGAAAGTTTGTATGAGGAATCAACTAGGGACGAACCCGAGCGAAGCGAGGGTGAGTTGATAGTTTACTATAAATATATATTTTTAGTGGCTTTGAAATCAATATATAGTCAATTGAGTTGGCAAATAAGTACACAGGTTGTTATTGCCATACAAAATGTATGGAAGAATCATTTTTTGACAGCTCATAAAGAGTATGTTAATTGATTGGTGATAGTGGGGACTAGCCTTTACCGACTAATTTCTTTTGTGTCTTCTCCATACTACGTGGCATTAGCGAAGTAATCTGAACTATCTACTCAAATCAGTACCTACTTCTTTTTGAAATCGGTAAAAAAGTATAGCTTTGGCATTTCATTAAAGTGCTACCTTTATATGGTTAATGGTTATGAAGTGCAAAACATACAAACATACACGTGAAGTGGGCATACATAAAAAATATTCCTACACACAAGTTTGCGATAACAACTGATAATAATTTATCACTTAGATAGCCCAGTTTTAAAATGAATATTGCTCATCGATTTGTTTTACTTTTCAGTGGAAATGGATAAGGTCGTAACCGTTTTCTTATTTGCTGCTTTTGTTGTGGTGAGCTGTGAGAATGGTAAGTAGCGCCATCTATTGATAAAAAGTCAATTTAAATTAAAGTACACGTTTTTTTTAGTAAAATAAAATATTTTTATACATTATTATATTATATTTTCAAATACAAAAAATCATATTTAAATATTTTTTTTATTAATCATTGATATTTACTATGCGTAAGTCAGAATATATAATTGAAAATGTGAAACAACGCCATCTCTTGTTCAATAGAGGAACTATATTTAATTTCAGAGACTACGACACTAGCCCCGAGAGTCGTGCCGTGGAATGAGACAGGTGTCTGCAGAAAATGTAGCTGTAAAGATGCTAAAGTGGACTGCTTCGATCAAAGCCTCACAGAGTTCTTTTCGAAAGAAGATTGGGCAAGTGAGTTAGGTTCTTACAGAGTTTAAAAACGTTAACAGTGATTATCTGTACAGATAAATAAAATTGAAGTCTGTTTGTAATGTTAAAATAACAGCGTTTTTACTAAATACGTATAAAAGTATGTATGGTACTTATAAGAAAAAAAACAGACCTTTTTAGTTTTTTTGTCTGTCTATCTGTCTGTTTGTTCCTGCTAATCTCCGAAACAGCTGGACTGATTTTGACGGGAATTTCACTGGCAGATAGCTGATGTTATAAGAAGTAACTTAGGCTACTGTTATTTTAGAAAAATAATTAGGGTTCCGCTCAAAAAAATTAAAACGTACTTAGGGACGAACCCGAACGAAGCGAGTGCAAGAAGCTAGTTTATATATAAATTTATTTTGTATATTTTGACTTAGATTAAATTTTGCATTTAGATTAGGTTTAGCTTTTTAAGGTTAGTTTAGTGCGCCCAAAGAAGAGGAGTGTGTGGTGTGTAGTGGCAGTGGTAGCCCAGTGGTGACGCTCTCGCTACGGAAATCGAGAGAAGCAGGCTCAAGTCCTGGGTCTCGCACCTCTGATATTTTCATGTGCGAATAATTTCCAACATGATTACCACTTGTCTTACGGTGAAAGAAAACATCGTGAGGAAACCTGCATATCCGAGAGAACCTGATTCTGATTATCATTTTTACACCATCACTTTTTGTTTCAGATTTAAAAGAATTTAAGCCCATATCTATAGATCTAAGTGACAATTTGATAACGAATGTGACGGCTATGGCAGAGTTGCCGGTGAAAGTGCTGAACCTTTCCCGATGCTCCATCTCCTTCATAGAGAATGCGAGTTTCAAAGATCTACAGAAAATGGAGACATTGGATCTGAGTCACAATAAACTAACTTCAGATAAACTGAGTCCACATGCTTTTGAGGTAATAATGTCTATATGTCTATACAAATATAAGAAAAAATCCATTTTATAAATATTTGTCTGTTCGTTTGGCCTGGCTAATCTCCGAAATGGCTGGACCGATTTTGACGGGATTTTCACTGATAGCGGGTGTTACGAGTATCGAGAATCGGTTGTCAGGCTACATATTATAGAAAAAATCTAAAATTGTTTAAACTTATTAAAAGTAGACACAAGTAAGTTTTAAAGTTAATATATAATATAAAAAGAAACAATTGCCTTTAGTTAGTCTCGCTAAAACTTGAAAACGGCTGAATCGATTTGAATAATTCTTATTTCGTTTTGTTGGCGTGTGTTAGAGGTAGTGTACGTATAAAAAAAATAGGCGAAACCCTAAAAAAACAGCTGGAAAATCGAAAAGTCCAGAACAGTTTATTTTGTATTTTTGTATATATAATGTTTAGTCTAATTATTCATACTAATATTTAAAACGTAGGGGAGAGGGTGGGCAGTTTAGTACAGAGGCAGTTTTGAATTGTTTGTTTTATGAACGGATCCTTTATCATTCCTAACCTCTGAAACCATTTTAATACTGGTAAAACCGACCTTCACATCTGTCAGTCTCCAGCTAACGTCAATGTCATTGTAGTTTTGAATATCATTTTTTACGAACCGGTTTGTTTACGAAGACCAGAGTAAATAAATATTTTTTTATTTGTAAGCAAATTACTGAAAAGGTAAGTATTATTTTCAAGTTATTATTATTTTATTGCGTTGTATATATTATATCCCAAGTATTACAAATGAAAATTAATTTGAACTCAAGTAAGTTTTTCGTTCAGAGATGTTTATTTATGCAAAATGGTGTTGGGGCAGATTTGAACAAAATTGCTGGGGCACTTTTGAATAAAATGTTCAAAGGTACCTAACCAAGTAAATATCATGAGATTTCTAAATTTTTAATTGGTTTCTTGTTTCAGTCATCATGCTGAAAAAGCTGTATTATGTGTTGTCAACAATGGCATAAAGCTTATAACTGCTGCTGCTATATATAACATAAAACCAACTACTTACAGAGTTAAAAATTTTAAAGAGAATATCACTCTAAATAGTAAAGAATATAGTAGCAAACACACAGTTTATCAAGTTTTTACAAATGATTAGGAATATATGGTGGAAAAGTATTTCTTAAGAATGTCTAAAATGAACTAAAGAAGAAGAAGAAGAGAGAATTGGCATACCAATATGCTAATGTCTTAGAAAAGTGCCCTGAGACGTGAATAAACAATAAGATTATTGTATTGAACGGATGCGAATATTGAATGGATGAAAGGATTTATGAAAAGGCATAATTTTATCATTACGAAAACCCGGAAATACAAGCTTTTCTAGACAACAGACAACGTTAAGATGTTTTATAATAACTATGAAAAAGTACGAGGAAATTTTACTCCACCTCGCATTTATAACTTGGACGTACATGTACGTTCCTAAAACTCTTATGTTAAATTTTTAAGATAGGATTCATAAAGGTACCTTCATAAGATTGTTTTGCAATATTGATATTGATCTTTTTTATAACTTGTTAGTTACTTTAATCTTGTTCAAGATTGCCCCAGACTGTTTAGTGTTTTATACAATTTATTTAAGTAATAACTAGTGTAGGTATAAATGGCTATGTTCAATGAATAAAATGTAAGATGCAAATAACTTAAATATAGTCTTAATTATATTCTAAGATACGTGGTTTTTATTTTATCCTGGTTTTACAATACTGCCCCTAGGGGTTTCAAATGTGCCTCGCGGATGGGGCAGATTTGAAGAAAATATGGTTTTTTTAAAATTGAAATTGCGTTAATTTGGTGGGTCAAAATAAATAAATATCATTTTTATTATTTAGTATAAACCCCATATCTATTTACAAAATATAATACATTTTGATTTTTAATACCATATGGGAAATATAATTTAATAACTAAAAAGTGTTCAAAGGTGCCCCCCTCTCCCCTACTTAGGGACGAACCCGAGCGAAGCGAGCGTTGGCCGCTGGTATTTAATAATAAACTAAACGGCTAAGTTAGTAATACGAAATAAATCTGTGTTGTAAAAAATGGATGTAAATTCATTTTAAATCCAATAAATCTTTTACATGATGTAATTTGAATGATAAAACAACACAATCTAATCATACACCGGACCGGAAGATAATCATGAACAGGCTTTTAGTTTATGTATACAAATCTATACATACTCGTATATTAAAATTCTAACTAAGTCGAATCTGTAAATTAAATATTTTTGGAAAATATTATTGAAATAGTCATTATTATCGATACAGAGACCGAATATATAGTTTTTAGAATTTTTGTCTGTCTGTTTGTCTGGGAACGAATCACGAGAAAACCACTGGACACATTTTGATAAAATTTGGTATTATGATAGCTAGTTATCCGGGTCAACATATAGGACACTTTTTACTGCGAGAAAATATCTCATCTCTGAGAAATCTATATTAAACGTTTTTTCAATATAATAAAATCTAATAGATTTTTACCTTTTCAGATCTGTCAAAATCGGAAAATCAAAATGTACTGAATTAGATTTTTCAAAGGAAATTTATGTTTTTGTTTTAGACGATATTAAGTATAGTTATTGGTTTGGTACTAGAGTAGTAGGTATAATACGTGAAAGCTCAGTTTGTAGTGACCCTAATAGCTGTGCCAGCGGTCGCGGGTTCGAATTCCACTGGGGGCATTCATTTGTGTGATGAGCACGAATGTTTGAACTCCAGTCGTGGGTGTTTATATTTATAACATGTATGTATTTAAAGTTATATATGTGTAGTGTATCAACTATCTGGTATCCATAACACAGGCCTCGTAGCTTACCATGGAACTAGATGGCGCAATGTGTTAATGTGCCAACATATTCACATATTTATTTATACCTACTTATGTTTATAAAAAAAAACTTAATATTGAATTCAAATTCTTAACTTATCTCTCCTTTCATTCCAGGGTCGCTACCTACCAGAGGAGTATGAACCTCTAGCTTCAATGAGAATCCTAAATCTGGCCTACAATGATTTGCATTCTCTCCACCAAGACCTCTTCGAGCATTTACCAGAGTTAACTGAGTTGGACCTCAGTGGAAACCCTCTGACAACAATCGATCATGTTACATTGATCGCAATCTCCAGTTTGCCCAAGTTAAAGGTAAAAAAAAACAAAGACGGTTAATATTTTCTTAGATTTACGCGAACATTTGACATTTTAAATAAAACTATCTTTTCGGATTATTTGGCGGATTTGTTTAGATTTTTGGTTCCCGACGTTTCGAGACGCTGTTTTTTCATGTACGCTGTAAAGCATTCGAAACGTCACTGAGACTAAAGTTTTAGACTTCTCAAAGGTTTCATTATATATGTACTCGTTACAGACATAAGCTATATTAAGGTTGTAAAAAATATACTAAGTGAAGTAAGACGAATTATTGTGCTCACAAATAAAATTTGCGTACCTTTAATAATCAAAAAAAAAATCAGTAAACAAATATATAGAGGATATTAACGTTACTAAAATTTGTTTAACTAAATGCAAGATCATAATCAAGCAAACATATCTAGACATATAATAAAATTGTAACTAAGCCGAATCTGTACATTAAATATTTTTTGGAAAATCTTATTGAAATGAACAATATTATCGATACAGAGGCCGAATCTATAGTTTTTAGAATTTTTGTCTGTCTGTCTGTTACCGTATCACAGAAAAACCACTTGAGGGGTTTTGATGAAATGTGGTATGGTGATAGCTGGTTATCCGGGTCAACATATTGGATACTTTTTTTCGCGGGAAAATATCTCATTTCTGAGAAAAAATACAAAAACTGCAATGTTAAAGTATACTAATCTGTAAAACCTAAGAATTTGGTCTTTGGTCATCTGAACGCGGGCGGAGCCGCGGGCAATTATATAAAACAACATAATTGGAAAGTTTGGGGAACAGCGACCTCTATTATCTATTCAAGCAAACAAAAATAGCCCGAAAAAAGCCCGAATTAGTACAATACAGTTACTTTGTAAGGGATGGGGCATCTGTACTAGTATATTTTTATGTCTTCTGTGTAAGATTTTTATATATAATTCTTAAAATTTTCATCGCAGGTTCTTCGCATGCGATCTTGCAAACTCACAGAAATACCAGATAAGTTCCTTCACACCCTCCGGTATTTAGAACGTCTGGACATAAGTGATAACAAACTAATTTCAGTACCGCAAGAGCTGGAGGAAACTAAAAATCTAATATATCTAAACCTAAATCAAAATCCTATCGTCAAATTAGACATGTCTTCAGAGAAATATCCGTGAGTAATATATCCGTGAATATTTGTCAATTTTAATTTTAATTTTTGTTCCCGATGTTTTGAATGTTATAAAGCAAACATGGTCACGGAAGAGGCTGTTTTTGAAATTTCAAAAGTTTGTGACCATAGTGGGCACAGATTTTAAGTGCATGTCAACTCTTCGAATTGCGGTAAAAGCATTTACAGTAAAACATTGATAATTTTTCCATTTTAAAAAAACGACTTATTTATATAATTTGTTGTGGTCATGAAAGTTAAATAACTATATTACGTTGTTCAGATATTAACATCACATAGTCTTTGCAATTTTTTTTCTTAACTTAAAAAAAAAATTCAGGGGATTTCCTCGTCTCCGAAAACTTCAAGAGCTTCACATGTGTAATATGCGCGCTCTCGTCAGCATCGGCGCAGGCGCACTCTCTGGCTTAGAAAATTTACAGAAATTGCACATGAGCTTCAATCCTAAACTGGAACACATAGATCCTAAGGCGTTGGCGCGACCTGATGACATCGGTGAGACGTATGACTGGCCACTGATTAAAGAGGTAAAGAGAATCTATACATATAATAAAAGTGTACTGAAAACTAAGTAAACTGTACATGGAAGACATTTGAGAAAAACTATGTAGTATTGATGGTATTTATAAACGCAATAGAACCCAAAACAATGATTTTTAGATTTTTTGTTTGGCTGTTTTGTATGTGCGTTTGTGTAGTCTAATCCCAGAAACGACTTAACCGCTTTGGATGTAGTTTTCACTAATATATTGTAAGCTTCAATTAACATTTAGTATTTATTTTATTTCAATCGGTTCATAAATAAAAAAGTTATATCAATTAAAGGAATCACCTAAAAATAATTCTAACTATCATCAACCACTTCTTCTTCTCCCTGCCCATTTCCCAAATCACTTGGGGTCGGCGCAGTACATCTTCAGTGTACTGCTGATAGGATTTGGCAAAAGTTTTACGACCGGCCACCTGCCTGACGTCAACCCTCCTTGGGAATAAACTAACTAACTATCATCAACAACTATCGGTGGTGTATTCCTATTTCATTTGCAAAGTGACAACTACCAATTCAAATATTTAGAATCTTTAATTAGCTCTATTAATTCAGCAGTGCTTTAGTTTACCTTTTTTTTTTATTTTTTTTTATTTTTTTTAACGTTGGGAAATGCATTTACGCACGACGTGTGGGACTCACCGGCGTAATACAGCCAGTACTACCCACTAAAACCCAACAAAACCTTCCCCTGTCTTAATGGGGCGTCGCAGGATCGCTTACGCATTCAACTACGACGCCCCGACGGCAGGTCTGCCGAAGCAGACCACCACAACCATGGGGTTGCTCCACAGTCAACTCTGCTATCAGAGAAGTACCAGGAGCAACCCGCATGGTACACCGCCCCCCGAAAAGGGCCACCTCCCACCACCCACCGAAGTGGGCAACCTCCCTGTGCGTTTCTTAGCTTCGCGCCCGGTTGGATTGCCGGGCACTACTGAGCCCCCCCACCACGACAAGGTGAACGCACGTTGGGGGGGGAGTGCTTTAGTTTACCTAGGAATAATGTCATCAAGTAATTTTTATCATAATCTTATAAATCCATCTAGCTATTAAACACTGTCCAATAATAAAAAGAATCCAGGTCTATGGATAGGCAAGAAATCGGCCTACCTTTTAAGCTTCTTTTTCTTCGCACGTCTTAGGAAAATGAGAGATATAGATGCAGGTTCTTCATGATGTTTTGCTTCACCATATATATCAAACGGCATGCAGCAAATAATACACGATTGTATTATACAGACGAATATTTTTTTTAATTTCTACATCATCAAATTAAGTAGTTTACAATTTTCAGCTGTACCTCCAATCCAATAATCTCTCAGAGGTAGACTCGAGATTCCTCTCTAGGTGGGATCTCGTAGAGGTTTTGAACATCACTGATAATCCATACATGTGTGACTGCACTACACAATGGATGGTCGATGTGCTCGTGCCGCTAGTTGAAGCGAAGGTGGTTAACGCTTCAGAAAAATTGATGTTAGTACTAAATTTTATTACGTTGGTGAAACATTCTATTTTTCCTTATCGTGTATACTGATTAATATAAGTTTTTATTACGTAGCTCTTAGTGAGCTTTTGTCAAATATTTAGATATAAAAGAATGATGCTAAAGAAAATTGAGGAAATTTTGGATAGCATGTTTTTTCGTATGTTTGTTTGTTTAAATATACTGTGTTTAGTTAAATAAATAACAATATCATAATTTATTTCAAGTAGCTACAACATATACATTTCTGACATTAAAATTTCATTTTAGTTCATTATATGGTAAAAAAATTTGCCCCACATTGGGCGCCATTTATTTAAATCTCTATAATATAGAAAAATCTAACTTTTTCAGATGCGCCGAGCCAATAGAAATGAAAGGCTATACAATGAAACATTTGAATGATATACATCGCACCATGCGCTGTTTGGACAAATACGGAAATCATCCAGAAAGGGACGGGGCTATGTTACTTGGAACTCTCATTGGTAATTTTAGATATTGTTGTGAATGATTTTGACATTTGCATTCAATCTTTTATACTATAATTTTATCTTATAATTAATAGTTTTTTTTCGACGGCACGTTTAGCTCAGTTTGTAGTGACCCTATTTGCTGTGCCAGCGGTCACGGGTTCGAGTCCCGCTGGGGGCATTTATTTGTGTGATGAGTACAAATGTTTGTACTCCAGTCATGGGTGTTTATATTTATAATAATTTATAATATGTATGTATTTAAAGTTATATTTGTGTAGTGTATCAACTATCTGGTATTCATAACACAGGCCTCGTAGCTTACCATGGAACTAGATGGTGCTGTATGTTAATATCCCAACATATTTATTTACGTCACCAAATTAAAGTTTAAAAAAGAGCTTAGTAATGTAAAAGCTAAATAATAGAAAACAACATATCTATGACACTACATATTTTGTATAATTAATATACTATTTTGCCCAGACAGGCAGTGGTAACACGCTCGCTTTGGAAACCGAGTGATGCGGGTTCAAATCCTGGGTCTCGCATTCTTGTTTGCAAAAAGATATAAAAAGCTAAAAGATGGGAAACAGCGTGCATTAATTCATTTACTTTAATCTACCTTTTATATTTCAGGAGTACTTCTAGCGGTGCCAATAGTATTCGTGGTATTACTACTTTGGCGTCGTGGGTACTTAGGATGGCTGGGCATGCGGCCGAATGAGACGTCGCGGGCTTTCTACAAACGGGCGCCCCATGATGACAATTATATATAGATATTTATTTATGTTATGAAATAATGTATAGCTTTTTTTAATAAATAGTTTCAAAAATACAAATTGAACTTTTATTTGAAAACAAATGTATACATATAATAAAATTGTAACTAAGCCGAATCTGTACATTAAATATTTTTTGGAAATTCTTATTGAAATAAACATTATTATCGGTACAGAGGCCGAATCTATAGCTTTTAAAATTTTTGTTTGTCTGTCTGTCTGTCTGTCTGTTACCGCATCACAGAAAAACCACTGGAGGGATTTTGATGAAATTTGGTATGGTAATAGCAGATTATCCGGGTCAACATATAGGATACTTTTTACCGCGGGAAAATATCTCATTTCTGAGAAAAAATGCAAAAACTGTATTGTAAGAGTACCTAACTAATATGTAAAACCTAAGAATTTTATTTTTGGTCATCTGAAAGCGGGCGGAGCCGCGGGCAATGCACTAGATATTTGAAATCAAAGTGGCTAGTTTGACAAAATGATAATTTCATGGGTAAGGACCTAATATTTAATATCTTGAGATTTATTTAAATATCTTATTGATAATGTAATCTTATATATTCAACTAGTGTGGGCCTGTGGTCCCGTCTGCGGTGTTATGGATAATTATTCCGCTCTCGTTGTTAATATTGTAAACATATATATATATATATATATATATATATATATATATATATATATATATATATTAATGTTCGAAAGAGCAGTTAATTTTATTTCTAAAAGATCAACTGCTGAGTTTCTCTTCTTATTTCTAAAGATTTTTTATCAACTGTTGGGTTACAGATATTAGCGCGAATAAACAAACAAAAAATCAAATAAAAACTAATCAGCCTTTTTCTCTATGGCTTGAAATTGCGTTAAAAGACAATTTTGGACATTTACCACCAGTAGTTGTTTTAGTTTATTGTACAGATTATAAAAAAAATGCAAATAAAAAAAAATTAAGAATAAATAAAAATGTTTTAATAATGACATTTTAGACAATATTTTACATATGTTGTTCAATGAAATCCTTGTATGAGGTGACTCTGGCAAAGACGGCGGGTAAGCCGGATTCACAACCGCCAATATTAGGGTGAGCTCCGAACGAAGTGAGACCAATCTAGAAATAAAATAAAAGCTTAATATTTTTTCATAATCTATCGACCTGACATGTTTGAACAGCTTTTTGACTGCAAGAGGAGTAAAGCTGTTATGAAAAAAAAGATATCAATTTTTGAAAACTAAATATATATAATTTTCCATACAACCTTTACTACGCTATCGTCCTATTATTAGTTTAATTTCGGTATATTCATGTCAAAATGTCAGCTCTAGATTTAACGGTTTGGCATTGAAGAATCCGTTAGGATAAGGAGTTGATTTTATAAATTGCAAACATTTTCCCGCGCTTCTACCACGAGAGTAGACCAAAGTTTAAAAATAAAAAGATTTCTAACCCCTTTCCACCCATATGGGGATTGAATTTTCAAAAATTCATTTCTTAGCTGATACCTATTCTCTATGACTAGTTTGCTTCCCAATACAAACTTTCATCCCCTTTTCATTCCCTTAAGGAATGATTTCCGGGATAAAAAGTATCCTATGTCCTTTCCAGGGTCTCAAACTATCTTCTTAACAAATTTCATCAAAATGTGTTCAGTAGATCCAGAGATTACGCCCTACATCGTCACAAATTCACAAACTCACAAACTCTTAAACTTTACCTCTTTATAACATTAAGTAAGTATAGATCATTTTTGACAATTCAGTGGGTAGTATTTCCCTTTTACACAAACAAAAAAATAAATATGTTGAAACATTAACACAGCACCATCTAGTTCCATGATACGCTACGAAGCTTGTGTTATGGATACCAGATAGTTGATACACTACATATATATGACTTTAAGTACAAACATTCGTGCTCATCACACAAATTAATGCTTCCAGCGGGACTCGAACCCGTGACCGCTGGCACAGCAAAATTATAGGGTTATTACAAACTGAGCCAAACGTGTCGTCAAATATGACGTTGATGTAACGTACACTGTACCTGGAACCTGCTAAAAATATTTTTTTCACTTCCGTTATCCCACATACTCCTAGCAGCATCAATGTAGTGTATTGATATTAATATTAGCTAGTCTATCACGTAACCATGATTGCTGTAAAGCAATCGAAACGTTGGGAACCAAAAATCAAAATAAATCCGCGAACAAAACCGACATAACGCATACATAGTTTCATTTAAAATGTCAAATATTCGTTTTAATCCACGAAAGTATTAGTTACTCATAAGAGATTTGGATAAATGCTTACCAAAACGGGTGACCCGTTCCTCTCCACCACGAGTGGGCCGCCAGAATCTCCTCTGCAAGGGCTTGATGCTCCTTTAGTCCCTAAACAAATGTTGGTATCCTGGACTTGCCAGAATACCGATCGGCATTCGGTGTTACTTATCACATGCGCTTGTCCATAGCTTAAACTTTGGGTAGTTGGGATAGGTACATCTGAAATTGAATACAGACTAAATCTGTAGCATCTATACAAATAAATAAAATTGAAATGTCTACTTGTAATATCAAAATAACAACTTTTTACTAAAAGCACATATATATATAAACGGTACTTATAAGAAAAAAAAATATTTGTTCTGTTTGTTCCGGCTAATCTCCGAAACGGCTGGACCTGGCCTTCATTGACAGATAGCTGATGTTTAAAATCTTTCGCATTTATAATAGTATTTATAATATATACATATATATATATATATACAATAAATAGTTCTATGTGAAAGCTCGTTTGTCTGTTCATTTATCAGCATCAGGTGTTTTAAATTGTATCAATTAATCAGGATTTTTTTATTTCTATGTAAATAACAAAAATGCATTTGACAATTATGGTTATAATTAGTAGCTTACCATTTCCGATCATTCCAAAACCAGAAGCGGTGGCAAGTGCACCCTCAAAGGTCTCTTCAGCAAAATCGCCAGTTGGTAAAGCGATGACGTCGATATTGTCTGAAATTATGTAAATTGTTAACATGGGAGCCGGGACGGAGATGTGCCTGGACACGAAGAAAAATATATAGAAAAACTTAAAGAAATAAAAAAAATATATAGTGAATGCTTGTTTAAATTTAGACATCTGCAGGAAAATGGTAAAAAAATATTCTTCACAAATATTTAAAACTAGCATTGCCCGCGGCTCCGCCCTAGTTCAGATGACCAAAAACCAAATTCTTAGGTTTTATATATTAGTATACTCTTACATTGCAGTTTTTGTATTTTTTCTCAGAAATCATTTTCCCGTGGTAAAAAGTATCCTATATGTTGACCCGGATAACCAGCTATCATCATACCAAATTTCATCAAAATCCCTCCAGTGGTTTTTCTGTGATGCGGTAACAGAAAGACAGACAAAAATTCTAAAAACTATAGATTCGGTCTCTGTATCGATAATAATGTCTATTTCAATAAGATTTTCCAAAGAATATTTAATGTACAGATTCGGCTTAGTTACAATTTTATTATATGTATAGAAAATGCATTTACTAATAAAAATTAAAAAATTAAACATTTATGGATTATTCAGTAGTTTAATTTGAAGAAGCAGACCCCTGGAAGTAATTCTGCCGCTGCCTATGATTATTATTTATTATGTAAGTATGTTTGGTTATTTTATAGCATTTCTTAAGAGTCTGCATATGACAATTTTGTACCTAGACATCGTTATTTATCACAGCAATCTGTGGAGGTTACCATTTTGATATTTAGAGAAAAGATACTTCGGACTTTTATCTTAAATTGCCAAATTTGAAAATACGATTAATGAAAATTTTCTCGATAATATATTTTTTTGAAATATACATGTATTGCACACGTATTGCTATTAATCTTAGAATCAGCTCGCTATTTTAGTAGGGTTTTTGTTTTGCCAGGAAACCTAGAAGTACTTCTTCAGTCGCTTAATACGTTGAGCATCTATCGCTTTATACTTCTCACTCACGATAGAACATTATCTTGTCATCTCGCTGCTCCGAATCTGAATCGTAGCGGTCTCATGGCACACTCTTAAAGCTAGTGAATTCACTTGTCTTTGCCTATTTATATATAGATACTAGAATAATTTTTTTCTCACGATTCATACAAAAACCGAAAGAGACCAAAGTTTACATACTAGTAAGTTCTACAGATGAAGGTAGATAGATGACAGCAATATCGTTGCGTGTAAGAAGTGGGAACCAATTATCGTGCATAACAACTTCAGTGGAGTGGAGCCTTGTGCCTCCAGTGAATAATGTAAGGGATCCTAGTACAACTTCTACTCTCCATGCTCGATTTAAGCCATCAAACCAACAGTGAGCGGCTGTGAGAACGCGGTTTCCACTGATGAGGACACCCCCACAGACTCCTCGACCATTGCTGCCAATTATCTCGCTGATTAAGCCAGCCTGTGAAGAAAAAAGTGAAAATTTAAAAATTGTTTTTTTTTTTTTTTTAAATGGCACATTATTAGGATGAACATAAAATTAAAAAATATTCGTTTAAACAAATATGTAAGCAAAAAGAAATTGAATAATGGTTTCATATAATTATGACCTATCAGGCAATAAGTTTTATTGGTATATTGAGAGATGGCGTTGTTTGCATTTTATGAGTTTTTTATCCTTTTCAAGCGACTTCCTCAAAAAGGAGGAGGTTCCCAATTCTGCTGTATGTTTTTTTTTCTATATTTGTTACCTCATAGCTCCGTCATTTATTAACCGATTTGGACAATTTTTGTTTTATTTGAAAATGTATACTTCCAGATTGGTCCTATTTAAATAATAAATATACCACCCCCAAAGGTGGAAAAATAGGTAATGATGAATTTAACCTACTTCTAATTGTCATTTTGACTTTGGTGGTGTTTTTTTTACGTTGATAGTGCAGTGGTTCCTTATCGTTGACATAATCTGATGGTAATGCCTGAAGGATAGCACGCTGGCACATTCTGCAAAAGACAAAGCAGATCTCCTGTGCTCTTTCTTTGCCTCAAATTCTACTCTTGACGACGGGGGATTATCGCCGCCTACCATCTCGCAGTGTGATAGCATGATGCCCGAAGTACGCTTCACGCAACGTGAAGTGCGTCGAGCACTTATCTCCCTAGACGTCAAGAAGTCCAGCGGGCCTGATGGTATTCCGGCCATTGTACTTAAAACGTGTGCCCCAGAGTTGACACCGGTCTTAACCCGCCTGTTCACTCAACTCTACGCCGTTAGCCAAGTCCCGTCTTCTTGGAAGGTTGCCATTGTTCACCCTATTCCCAAAAAGGGTGACCGCACAGACCCGTCCAATTACCGGCCCATTGCGATAACCTCTATACTCTCTAAGGTGATGGAGCGCGTGATTAATACTAGGCTCCTAGCATACCTAGAAGAGAACCAGCTCATTAACGACCGACAATACGGATTTCGACAGGGTCGTAGTACTGGTGATCTTCTAGCGTATCTAACTCACCGTTAGGCAGCTGCTATTGAGAGTAAGGGGGAGGCGTTAGCACTTAGCCTTGATATCGCAAAGGCCTTCGATCGGGTCTGGCATAAGGCACTTCTATCGAAGCTGCCATTATATGGACTTCCCGAGAGATTATGCCAATGGGTCGCTAGCTTTCTTTCTGGACGTAGCATAAAAGTTGTCATTGACGGTATATGCTCCGACACTGTTCAGATCAACGCTGGCGTACCCCAAGGCTCAGTGCTATCGCCTACACTGTTTATTCTGCATATCAACGATATGTTGTTAACTAACAACGCTCATTGCTATGCAGATGACAGTACAGTCGATGCCTATTATACTGGCCGAGCTAGCATCTCTCGGGCTAAGGTTGAGGAGAATAGAGTCCAACTTGTGTCTGAAATCGAGACTTCCCTAGAGCAGATCTCCGATTGGGGCCGACGAAATCTCGTCCAGTTTAACCCCTCAAAGACACAAGTTTGTGCGTTCTCCACGAAAAAAACCCCATTTACTATAGCGCCAAAGTTCCAGAACACTTCTCTTAACATCTGTAAGAGTATCGGGATCCTAGGGGTCGAAATATCGAGCGACGTCCAATTTAGATGTCATCTGGAAGAAAAAGCCAAATTGGCTTCCAAAAAAATGGGTGTCCTTAACAGAGCGAAACAGTATTTCACGTCAGGGCAGCGACTTTTGCTTTATAAAGCACAGGTTCGCCCTCTCATGGAGTACTGTTCTCATCTCTGGGCCGGCGCCCCCCAATACCAGCTTCTTCCATTTGACTCTATCCAACGCCGGGCAGTTCGTATTGTCAACGATCCCGTACTCACAGACGACTTAGACACTCTAAGCCTTCGGAGAGATGTTGGCTCTCTGTGTGTTCTCTATCGTCTATACAATGGAGAGTGTTCTGATGAACTTTTTGACATGGTGCCACCGTCGCGCTTCTATCATCGCACCCTTCGCCGTCGGGTAGGATGTCATCCACACATTTTAGATGCTTGGCATTCTACAAATGTACGTGCGTCTCGATCTTTTTTACCTCGCACGTGCAAGATGTGGAATGATCTTCCTCCCGAGGTATTCCCTGAGCGCTTTAATATGGGGCTCTTCAAGAGCAATGTCTATAGGTCCCTTAAAGGCCGGCAACGCATTCGCAACTCCTCTTGTGTTGCAGATGTCCATGAGCGACGATAGCCACTTACCATCAGGTGGATCGTTTGCTCGTTTGCCCCTTTTTTCTATAAAAAAAAAAAAAAAAAAGGCCAGCCAACAACAAAGTAAAGCAAAGCACACCGACTTCGAATATATTTGATTAGGTATTATAGTAAATGAAAACTACCGATGAGTTATTTTTTACTTTTTAGTGCTTTTTTTGAAGTCGGTTTTTTTTTAAGTTTTTATATATAAAACCATTTGGCCGCATTCGGGTTTTGTAAAATAGCCCGAATCGAATGACTTCAATTCATTTTTCATTGAATTTCTTTTAAACGGATAGCTTGTCAGTTGGTATCATTAAAGTATTATGTCATATGTACAAAAAAAATTTTATCCTTCAAAAATGCAAAATGATAATTTTTCAATAGTAGGATAATCTGTATGTATGTATTCTTGCTTGCTTTATTATAATAGGTATCAATTACTTCCTATATTATGTGGCGCATTTTAGCCTAATTTGATATTCGATTGAGAGAAACTGAAAACGATTTAAAACAAAACTCTTAATGGTTAAAACTTCAAATCTTGGCACTCTATACACTTGATCTTGTAGATGACGCAAAGGATTTTTCAATTTATTTCTATATAACAATTTTTTTTACCAAAATGTAACAGAAAAATATAAATAAATAACGATTTTCTTTGAAAACTTCCTCACAAAACATTTTTTTCTAAGTCTTTTAGTCTCTAAAGAATTAAAAAAATACGCATAAACTTAAGTATTTCCTTAGATAAAATCGTAAATTTATTTTACTAATTAAATTAACCCTTTATTTGTCAACAAAAAAAAACTAAAAATCTATATGCAATTTAAATAAAACTATCTTTTCGGATTATTTCGCGATAGCGGCTCACCCTCGCTTCGCTTGGGTTCGCCTCTAGAAAAGCACAAACAGATCTATCCCACGGGAACCTTTCATTTTTCGGGGATAAAAAGTAACCTGTTGTTTGACCGGCAATATAAGGTATCAATCAGCATGCCAAATTTCACTAAATTAGGTGCATAAGTTGTTGTGTACTTAGCTGTATAAGTTACTATAGTTTCTTAACTATCCCACGGGAACTCTTTAATTTTCTGGGTTGAAAAGTACCTAAAATGTTGATTTAAATAGGTCTAACAGTTTTGGAGATTAGCCCGTACAAACAGACAAACAGACAGACAGAGAAACAAAAAAATGAAAAAAAAAACTGGATTTGTTCTATTTCTCTTCTTAGATCCCCCTGACTCGGTTTTTAGCATTTTTTTATGTACAGACAGACCTCTACAGTTTTATTATATGTATAGATGTCAAATTTTCACGTAAATCTAAGAAAGTACTATATGCACTTCAAATCAGTGTAAAACAGTGTGTAAAATTGTTTGGAGATGCTATAATTTTCAATTTACCTGATACTTGAATTGTCCAACTGCAGCGGGAGAACCATTGAATATTCTTGAAATTGGGTTCTTCAGATATTCTTCTTCCTGTGCCCGAATCTTTTCAGCCAACGGAATACCGAATCTTGTTAAGTATCCATAGGCGGTGTTATATTTATGTAAATCGGCCGAAGCAAAGGCTGCTAGAGAAAGAAGAACTATTGCCACCTTCATGGTTATGAATTATGATGGGCAGGTCACGTTGGTTTACGAAATAAATATCCCTTATATATCATACGCAAAGATAAGCGTATTAAATATGATTTAAATAGATAAAGTTGGTTTCATAATACATATAGATAAGTAACTAGACGTTTTATAAGTTACGTTTTTTTGGACCTGAATCGTTTTTAATATCTATCCCACGGGAACCGTACATTTTCCGGGATAGAAAGTAACCTATGTGCTATTCCAGACTAAAACCTATCTCTGTGCCAAATTTCATCCAGAACTGTTCAGCCGTTCTGGCGTGAGTAACCAACATCCATCCATTCATCCTCACAAACTTTGACATTTATAATATTATATATTGGAGTAATATTACTGAGTAGATAATTGTGTTATGTCTATCGCTAAATAATTCTGTAATTAAAGTAGAAAAATAAAAAATAGAGGTAAAAAATAGATATGGGATATTTTCGGTATATTACGTACATATATATGCCCTCAAAGATAATTTTGTTTCTTATAAAAATGCTATGAAATACAAGTATATTTTTGCAGTTGATGAAATTAATGTTATAGATGGAATTTTAATTTACTTTTAGCGTAATGGATTTTAAATAAAATGGGCAAAGACTAAAAAGTAACCTTTTCACTGCTATTTGTCAACCGATTTTCTTTCTTTTTGTTTGGTAGCTTTTGACGATTTATGAATCAATTTTTTTTGGGAATGGTTTTATTATTATTATTAGTGATAAATTTTCAATAATGGTTATGGTCTAATTTTAACCACTGAGCTTACATTAGTATATGTTAAAGCATATCATAAATTTATTTATATAGGTATCCATACTATAATATTATGTTTGTTTGTTTGTCCTTCTTTCACGTTAAAACTGAGTGACAGATTGGCGTGATTTTTTGTGTGGAGATAGTTGGAGGGCTGGAGAGTGACATAGGTTACTTTTTACAGCGAGGATTTTCATTCCCACGGGAAAACATGTTATAATATAACCTTAAAAATTATTTATGATCAGAATTACTTAATTTGGTATTAATAAACCTAGCTTTTTAGAGATTTTTTTAGTAGTTTTAGCACGAGCGAAGCCGCGGTTCCTGCTAGTATGTATATAAATGTTTCATGTTACAGTGAGCCATTCAAATATGAACCTGCCAGATTTTTTAAGTTTGGTGTATTTCGATTAAAGAACTCTAGTTATTATAGGCAAATATAAAATTACTACTTTAGATGCCTTAGCAGGAAGCAGATTATTTAGTGAAGACGAATTCCGCATTTTAACAGTAACTTAATCAATTATAAAGTATTAATTACGTATGTTGATAACATTTAATGCGTATTAAGTATTATCTAAAAATTGCTCAATTTTCAGATTCTGAACTCTAGTTAGTAATTATATTCATATAATTCTGGCACCCAGCTAGCATTCTGGCATACGAGTACGTTCATTTCTTATTAGCGGTTTAATCTCGCTTCACTCGGGTGCTCATTAAATAGGCACCTTCTCAATTCATGGCATTTTTTTCTTTTTTTTAAATATATAAATAATAATAATAATAAATATTTCGGGACATTAACACACAGCGCCATCTAGTTCCATGGTAAGCTACGAGGCGTGTGTTATGGATACCAGATAGTTGATACACTACACATATATAACTTTAAATACATACATATTATAAATATATACATTATATACAAGCTGCACCGTCTCTTAACTTTTATTACTAATAGGATGTGTTATGTTAGGTCCAAGTCTATATATAACGCTAATGAGACCCCCCACTCTCTAGGTGGTTGGGTCCTACCGGGCGTGAAACCAAAAAGGAGGCCCAATTGGTGATGGGCGGTGTACCATGCGGATTGCTTCTGTTACTTCTCTGACAGCAGAGTGACCCTTAGTTGTGTAGTCTGCTTCACCAGGCAGCCGTCGAGGCGTCTTGTTTGAGTGCGTAACCGATCCTGCGATGCCCCATTAAGACGGGTGAGGTTCTGTTGGGTTTTAGTGGGTAGTACTGGCTTTTCTAGCCGGAGAGTCCCACATGTGGTATGCCTAAATGTATTTCCCAAAGTTAAAAACGTAAGAGCCTAGCCTATATATGTATGTACTAAAATTAATATCCATTTCAGTGTGACACATAAAATCCGTTTCCCTTATGTGATAAGTAAAAAAAAAACATATTTACCCAGATTACAATATCGTGGCAAAATTAAATCGAATAAAGATTTTATCAAACAGAACGAAAAAACCCAAATGTAATATTTAAGTATAGCAGAACCCGCGGCTTCGCTCGCGCTAAAACTATAAATGAAATCTCTAAAAAGGTATGTTTCATACAAACTTTCATCCACTATTTTACCCTCTTAGGGGTTGAGTTTTAGAAAACGCTGAAATACGTAGCTCATTATTTTTGCCGTACTCAATTCATACGAAATTTCATGCAAATATGTCCAAGGAATAAAAAGTTTCATACAAACTTTAATGCCCTATTTCACCCCCTCGGGGGGTTGCATTCTAAAAAAGCCTTCCTTTGTGGATGCCTTCGTCATATGAGGAATTCGTGTGCGAAATTCAATCACAAACATCAGTCAATCACTGTTGCCTATTATATATATATATATATATATATATATATATATATATATATATATATAGATTAGAAACTATCGATAGTAAACCTGACAAATATTTTTATTATTATTCAATGACTCATTAACAAACAACGCAGTAAGTTACAGAAATCTAATTAATCTGGGTGGAATTATCGCTCAAGGGTTCATACTCACCACCTCCAATAACTAATAGGCTGTGTTATGTTAGATCCAAGTCTATATACCCCCCTCCCCCCTCCTCATAATAGAAGGTGGAGGGGGGGCTCATCCGGCAATCCTACGGCCCAATTGGTGGTAGGCGGTCACATGGCGGTAGTGTAACTACCACCCTAAGAATATGAAAACTTGTACATAGCACATATCGGCGTGGCCATTTAATCGGATTTATTTACCAATCGACCTATAAAAATCGTGCAACTGTGAGTCTAACTCGCACGCCGAGGGTTCCGTAGCATTAATCATGAAAATAAGTTTATAATCGCGAAAGAGATTTTTTTGTGATGTAACTACAAATTACGGTTTTTGGCTTTTTCCTTTTACTTGTGCTATTAGACGTTGCTTTTTGCCAGATTTCATGATTCCAGCTCAACGGTACCCTGTATGTTTTGATTCCCTTAGAGTGTCAAAATATGCGACAAACGCCCGTATCTTTTGATTGCGTTGACTTAGAAGTTTGATATTTTCACAGCTCCTAGTTCTTGCAGAATTGATTATTTGTTATTAATTTCAACTTGATATGTATCTCCACGCATTGCTGAGAAAAAGGCTTTTGACAGACAGACACACAGAAAGACAGACGTACAACGAAGTGATCCTGTAAGAGTTTGTTTTTCCTTTTAAGGTACGGAACCCTTAGAATGATTAGAGTTTGATAATTTGATTATGATTGTATTTAAATTATCTATCTATTAGTAAGAGATCCCGATCTACGTGGTGGACTCTTTTTCCAGACGTTTTTTTAAACCATAAACATACTAGGGGAGTTGTCACCAAAAATTTGTTCCAGGCTATTTTTAACCCCCGACGCAAAAAGAGGGGTGTCATAAGTTTGACGTCGATGTATGACTGTCTGTGTGTATATGTGTGTGTGTGTGTGTCTGCTGTGGCATCGTAGCTCTCAAACGGATGGACCGATTTCGATGCGGTTTTTTTCATTTGGAAGCCGACAGAAAGTTTTTTTGCGGTGGTTCCTAGCTATGTTTGGTTAATATCGGTCCAGCAGTGTAAGAGTATCATCTTTTTTCCAAAATGATCTAAGGCATTTTGGCGTATGATTACTCGATTAAGTGCTTCACGCGTGCCAGTGTAATCGTTTAATGACAATTAATTTGCGTAGAGGGTTTTTTAAATTTTAAATTTATAATTTACTAAAAAAAATTAATTTTTGTTGAGTCTATAGGGAACATACCTACACACATCCATTTTTAAAAATTTAGAAGACATACTTTGTCTGTATACTAAATTACTCATACGACTACTATACTCTACGACTTCAAGGAAAGGAGCAATTATGCAAAACTACTCGAGCAATGTCACGGGTAAGAGTTAGTTGTAAAGACACGTTTGGCTCAGTTTGTAGTGACCCTACTTGCTGTGCCAGCGGTCGCGGGTTCAAGTCCCGCTGGGGACATTCATTTGTGTGATGAGCACGAATGTTTGTACTCCAGTCATGGGTGTTTATATTTATAATATGTATGTATTTAAAGTTATATATGTGTAGTGTATCAACTATCTGGTATCCATAACACAAGCCTCGTAGCTTACCATGGAACTAGATGGTGCTGTGTGTTAATGTCGCAACATTAATTTATTATTAATTAAACGCCAAGTATCATGTATTGATTTTTTAAATGTTATGAAAAAAACAAGTTATACATAAAAAATGTTTATTTTAGACTTTCAAAGTACTTATACGAGTACATGCAATTAGAAAAATGACGCTATTTTTTTATGTTAACAATTATTAGTATTTACATAATGTAGTGCAAAGTCGATGAATTTGTCTTAAGTTAATTAAAATAAAATTTTGTAGATCGTTCCATCTTGAAACATATCCACAGTATACGAATATAAAAACCACAGGCAGAGCGTACAGAACAAAATTTTCATAACAACATCGACTATGTAGCGTCTGAAAAAAAACAATATCAATATTCAATTTTTCTAGAATTTTTTTAGGAAATAATAATAATAATGATAATAAAAACCCTTTATTGTATACGCAAAAAGAAAAGAAAATATACAGAATATATGAATATTATGTACAAGAGACGGCCTTGTCGCTAAAAGATCGATTTCCTCCAGGCAATAGTACTAAGATAGAAGGGCGCGAATAATAAAGATATAGAAGACATATAATAAAATTCTAACTGATTTTAAGAATTTTTGTCTGTCTGTCTGTGAACGAATCACGAGAAAACCACTGGTCAGATTTTGAGGAAATTTTGTATGATGATAGCTGGTTATCTGGGTCAACATATAGGATACGTTTCACTGCGGGGAAAATATCTCATCTCTGAGAAATCTATACTAAACGTTAAAATGTAACTAGGGACTAACCCGAGTGAAGCAAGGGTGCGCTAGTATATTTATAAATATGGATATGGATCAGTAAGACTTACATTTTTATTAGTTTCCTTGCTCTGGGTAAAGTTGAAGGATCTTCTTTTAAAACATAGTGCCTTGTTCCTATGACATAGTCTCTTAAGTACATATCAGGAACAACTTTTGACACATCGGTGTAGAAAGTTTCGTTTTCCTCCTCGCTTATTCTTTTTTGTAATGATAGGAAGTTAGTATTTCTAAAATGCCATTCTTTGGTTGTGTAGTACTGGAGAACGCTCAAGCCATGGCTGATACGTTTTTGGACTCTAACCATACTGAAAAAATAAGATAACATTGTTATACTCAACAAGCAGTCACCACGATCGAATTTTCCATCAGAAATAATTAGAAGCTTGTATGTATGTATGTATGTATGTAGGAATTTTCCTTCCTTGTCCTTTTCTAACGTCCCACTGCTGGGGGTGGGCCTCCCTTCAATACGAGGGGGGTCAGGACATAGTCCACCACGCTGGCCAAGTGCAGGTGGACTTCACATGTCTTTCGAAAACTTATTAGGTTATCTCAAACATCCCCCCCAACGTGCGTTCACCTTGTCGTAGTGGGGGGCTCAGTAGTGCCCGGCAACCCAACCGGGCGCGAAGCCAAGAAACGCACAGAGAGGTGGCCCACTTCGGTGGGCGGTGGGATGTGGCCCTCTTCGGAGGGCGGTGTACCATGCGGGTTGCTCCTGGTACTTCTCTGATAGCAGAGTGGACCTTGGACTAACCCCGTGGTTGTTGTGGTCTGCTTCGGCAGACCTGCCGTCGGGGCGTCGTAGTTGAATGCGTAAGCGATCCTGCGACGCCCCATTAAGACGGGGGAAGGCTTTGTTGGGTTTTAGTGGGTAGTACTGGCTTTGCCGGTAAGTCCCACACCTCGTGCGTAAATGCATTTCCAACGTTAAAAAAAAGGTTATCTCAAACATGCAGGTTTCCTCACGATGTTTTCGTTCATCGTAAGGTAAGTGGTAATCATGTTGGAAATGCTTCGCACATGAAAATATCAGAGGTGCGAGACCCGGGATTTGAATCCGCTTCACTTGGTTTCTCAAGCGAGCGTGTTACCACTAAGCTACCATTGTCCTAGAAATTAGAACCATTTCTAAATTTAAATGACAAACTTCTATGCTAACTTTTACCACTAATTCAAGGGCATAACTCTTTTAATAAGGAACGCTAGCGGAAATTTTCATGCTTGAAGAATTCATGTTTTGTGAGTTATTGTTTAGTTTTAAACGTTTACCACAAAAATGCAACAAATCAATATTTTTGGCCTTTTACCTTGAATATGTTTTTTGCAGATGGTGATTTTTGTTTTTTTTTTATTTGGAATAGTTTACCTAAGACCTGTTGGGAAATGTACATACCACCTTCATACAAGTGGTTATGTGCCCAAAGACTGAGCACAGGTGGCAGAAGTGGTTATATCCCAGAAAAGCCAGTACTATCCACTAAAACCCAACAGTACCTCCCCCGTCTTAACTTAGCATCGCAGGATCCCTTACGCACTCAACCAAGACACCTCGAAAGCAGGTCTGACGAAGCAGACCACACTACCAAAGAGATGCTTCCACGGTGCACTCTGCTGTCAGAGAAGTAACAGGAGCAACCCGCATGGTACACCATACACCGAAGTGTGCCTCCTCCCAGTGTGTCTTTTGGCTTCACGTCCGGCTGTATTGCCAGGCGCTAATGAATCATTAATTTGTCCTTTTCTCACTTGGCACATGTTATTATTACGATCCACACAACTATACAGCATTCGAAAGGTCGGGAAACAAAAAATCTAATGAAATCTGCCGAAAAAATCCGAAAAGATAGTTTTATTTAAAATGTCAAATATTCGCGTAAATCTAAGAAAGTATTATATAATTACTTTTTTAGGGGCAAAATATGCAATGTAAAAATACTTACAATGTTTTTCTTCCCAAGAGAAATAGCAGCATGTCTACCAAATATGCTGGAATAGTATGTAATAGGATAACCATAAGTTCATGGTATAATTTGGAAGACTTAATAGTGCCTCCAGGATACCACAAAGCTATAGTATAGGGGTAATCAATTACCCATTTTCTACCTGAAAAAAAAATTACAGGTCAAAATCCATAATATTACAGAAGCTCTTTGACGATAGCACATAATACAATCTTATTAAATGTTACTTGTTTTATTTAAAAGCTTATTTATAGCATTTTAAAATATTATAAAGTATTTTTTACAAATTGAAAAACAACAGGCAATTGCTGAAAGGATTTTTGAAATTAGATGTGTAGATTCGGAGACTACGTCCAACATCCAAACTTACAAACTTTTGCGAATTTTCGACTTGAGGGGGATCAGGCCATAGTTCACCACGCTGACGAAGAGCGGGTGGACTTCACATGTCCTTCGAAAACTTGCGAAACTTTATCAGTCATGCAGATCTTCTCACAAAGTTTTTCTTCACCATAAGGCAAGCGGTGATCATGTGGAAAATGATTCGCGTATGAAAATATGAAAGGTGCGCGACCCGGGATTTGAACCCAAGCAAACGTGTTACCACTAAGCAACCAGTGCCTCTAATGATATTAGTATCTTTTAAACTAATAATGTCAAGGTTATGCAAAACTTACCCAGTTCAATTATTTCTCCCCAAGTTAGCCTTTGAACTCCTGACAATGTAATATTGAATATGCGCATCTCTTTAGGTCTGAAATAAATATTGTATACAATTATCATATATTAATCGTATAAATAGCTGTTTAAGCATTAATTTTCATATTTTTAACTTTGAAGATGACGCACAATAAACTTTCACCACAATTTTTTTTCTTTTAAACAATGAAACCGCTGTTTTTTGAAGTCACTCATAAAATGTCCGTTATTATTTGCGTTAAGATTCTGCAGTAAAGCACCGGTGTAAAGTTCAGCATTTTTCCTTTACTTAATTTAAACTATTATTATTTCATAATAGGGACAAAAACAAATCTATCCTACGGGAACCATACATTTTTCCGGGATAAAAAGTAAACTTTGTTGCTATTCCAGATACAATCTATCTCTGTGCCAAATTTCATCCAGATCCATTCAGCCGTTCTGGCGTGAAATAGTTACAAACATTCATCCTCACAAACTTTCACATTTATAATCTATACATCTATACAGATAAATAAAATTGAAGTGCCTGTTTGTAATATTAAAATAACAGCTTTTTACTAAATGCAAATGAAATTATATACGGTATTTATAAGGATAACACAATTTTTATCATTTTTGTCTGTCTGTCTGTTTGTTCTGGCGAATCTCCGAAACAGCTGGGTCAATTTGGACGGATCTTTCACTGGCAGGTAGTTGATGTTATAAGGAGTAACTTAGGCTACTTTTATTTCAGTAAAAGAATTAGGGTTCCGCTCAAAAAAAATGTACCTAGGGACGAACCCGAGCAAAGTGAGGGTTCTGCCGCTAGTATTAGTATAAGAATAATGTTATCTTAAAGCTCAAAATTTGCTTTAAATAATTAATTTCCTTTATTTTTGAATGCAATAAATGTACATCTTCTAATGTCATTATGATGTCCTCCTGATCGGCTTCGGCCACGAACGAAGAGGATAATGATGAAAATAATAAAAAAGGTCTAAAAATTAAATAGGTGTCTCATAACAATTTAAAAAATCTGGCAAATACGAGCCTGACTCGCACACCGAGGGTTCCGTAGCATGAAATATTAAAACAATTTTTTTTGTGATGTAATTATTTAACTCTTTTCGGATTTTTCCATTTACTTGCGCTACAAAATATTACTTCTTGCGTTTCATAACTTTAGGTCACCATATAGGTACCATATAGGTTTTAATTTCCGTTCGACTTCCCTAGCGAGTGTCAAAATATACAACACAAACGGCCGTATATTTTGATTGTGTTGTCTTAAAATATAAATTTTTCACAGATCCCAAGATTTGCAGACTTGAGTATTTGATATTTATTTCAACTTGACAAATAGACAGGGACAGATAAGGATTTCTTTCTTTCTTTTGAGGCACGGAACCCTAAAAATATTGAAACTTACTCATCCATAGCTGTGGCATATGCTATCAGTATGCAACCGTTGGCGACGACATCGACTGGAATCGCGTCGGCTGTATAAGAAGGTTCACAGTGCATTGTACGGATAACACCTAAAATTATTATAGATCTTAAAAAACATGTATATATTATAATCATAATGTAAGTTTCTCTATATTGAAATAGGGGAAGACGTAACAGTTCAGTATATTTTCTCGTCTGTTTGTCAATCGATTTTCTTTTTTTTTGTTTAGCTTTGGCTATTGACGAGTTTTATTGTATTTTACATAAGATGGCAAAATTTCACCAACGCTTACTTTAATAGCAGGTAGCTGGATATGATATAAGTATAGTATAAAGATTTTTAATTTGATAAAACGGCTTGACATAAAAAAGTGTATTTTTCTGACCTTAATATTCATTTTTTTTTGTATTCCTATACATAATTTTCTATACTATATATAATTAAAAGAAATAATGGTCAAGCATCACCAATTATTATATTGCCTCGTAGGAATAAAAAAAAATTTGCAGTAAAAGGTATCATAAATGGTAATCCGTGTAATAATCCGTGTTATAAGTTAGTGATCTACAGTCTACACAAAATTTTAATAAAATCTGTTCAGTATTTTTGCGTGAAATTCACGAACATATACAAACATACAGACAAATAGACCAAAATTTCACTAAAATTGTTTTGAGGTCTATATTCTGTTACGTAATTTGTTTTTTTTTAGATACGTCCAAAAAAGAGCATCATTAAAAATCCTACTTCATTAATAATTATATTTTATAATCTTTTAAGCTTGTAATATATATATTATAAGGTTATTTGATTTGGTTAAACCCATTTGATAAATATTTAAAATAATACTTTCTTATATTGAAGCGAATATTTGACATTTTAAATAAAACTATTTTTTCGGATTTTTTCGCCTAATTTATTTTGATATTTGATTCCCAAACCAGATTATTAACCAGTTTTTTGGAACAAAAAATCAAAATAAAAACGCGAAAAAATCAGAAAAACTAGTTTTATTTAAAATATCTAATACATAATATTCTGTTATATTTTTAAATACAATGCATTTAATAAATTTTACCTTTTCCACTACCAATGAGAAGACCTGTTGGTCCATTCAAATTGTCGACCCACCCTGGCATAGGCTCTTTCCAGGCGGAGGTCACTAAAAACATAAATTTTGATTATATTTGTACACACAGTCAATCTCACTGCGACTAGCCACCTGCAAGAGATATTATAGTACACAAGTGTACGCTCAGACACGTTTGCGCTCTCTATTCCTGTCAGTATGACAGCAAACTCCGGACAATTTGACATGACCGGTGAGAGACCAGGCACTCCGCACGGGGGTAAAACACGGCTAGTTTCCCACCTCTGGGTTGTTACTGAGACTTCTTTAACAGAAAGACTCAATGACTAAACATGGCCCGATCTGTGACTCGAACCCGACCACGACAAGGTGAAAGTACATTGGGGGAAGATAGACCATGACTTACAATAACCTATAAACTAATTTAAGCAAAGAAATCTCACCAATTGATGGTCGTCCTATTGCGATCGGTATTTTTGAGCTAAATTCAGCCACCAAATCTTCAGTAATAGCCTTTGTATAGGAGTAAGTGTTTGGTTCTGAAGAAATTAGCCTGGAATTGGCAATAACATAAAAAATAATAATTGTCAATCACTTTTTATCAACGTTTTGAATGCTTTACAGCAATAATGGTCGCGGCAGATGATTGCTGTAAAACATTCGAAGTAGAGAACAAAAAATCAAAGTAAATCCGGAAAAACATCTGAAAAGATGGTTTTATTTAAAATGTCAAATATTAGTTAGTATTGTGGGTTTGAATCTTATTTTACCTTTATTTACAAAATCTGTGACTTACTTTGGCTCTAAGTATTCGAGGGTCTTATCATCCAACCATTCCACTAGGTCTATAATTTTCCTAGGAGGATGGACCGCTGGGTATAGCTTTTCCTCTAAGATTTCTAGGTCACACCGGCAGTACGCCGTTGAGAGGTGCAAAAATGCCTGAAGGAAACATAATAAATAATTATTATGTAAAAATAAAAATAAAGCGATTACATAAAAGCTTATTAAAAAGATGAAAACAAGTTCACGAAGAATATAGAATTGTGCAGTCGGAGACATAGACGTTTCATCCTTGCTACGACATGTACATACTCGTATGTATGTATGTTTTGTGCAAAACATTTTTCGATAGAACGTCACAGTAAGCCGAAAATTGAAAAAAAAAACATTTTTCAACGCTTTGCGTCTCCCCATTTTTCGGGGGTAGCTGGGCATCGGGAACATTTTACGAATTTCTATTCCTTATATACCTGCTAACATTTTAAAATCATAAAACTTCGGGTTTTCAATATTTTGTTCCCAAACTGGATTCCGATTGGACTAATATAAAAGTTTTATATTTGTATCTTCTTTCTAGGATAAACAAGGCTCTTGTTCCACACCTACGTTAAATTCGATCGAATACTATAAAAAAATCTAATGTTTTCTTAGTTTTTTTTTAATATTAAACGCCATGTCGTTTAAACCATGTAAGCTTTACTATATTACCAAAATTGATTCTGCGACTATTTGAAATATTCAAATACCGTAAAATAAGGAAGTACCTGTATATTCTCCATCGTTTCAGCTAATTCCAAAACTCTCAGGGTTCCGATAGTGTTCATTTGTACAGCACTTTTTAGGGGCTGATCGAATCTGAAAAGTGAGTAAAATATTAGTGCCTAAATATTTAGTAGTTCCACTGATAGCGATGGACCATCCGTCAATACAAAGGGGTATCAGGCCATAGTCCGCCACGCTGGCCAAATACAGATAAGCGGACTTCACGTGTCTTTCCAAAACTTGCTAGGTTCTCTCAGACATGCAGGTTTCCTCACGATCTTTTACCTCACCGTATTATTTTATAGTACTCACCATGTAGTATATAAGAAAAATAAATATTTATCCTCCTCTAACACACAAAATCCATTTTCATAATAGTGACAAGATTTTATAGAAGTAAGGAACGAATTCGTGTTCTTTCCATTGGGAAATTCCAATGAAAATTGATTCATACTATTTCTTATTCTGTAGGAATAAGATAGGGTTTTACAAATGTATATAGATCAATTTCGATTTTGGGTCTGTTAAGATTTTCAAATAATGTTTGATTTCCCAATAAAAGCAAATAAAAAATTGGACAAGTGTGAATTTGATTCGCACATCGACAGTTCCGTAGCATGAAACATTAAAATAAGTTTAATATACGTAAAAGAATATTTTTTCTGTTACAAATTTACGGTTTCCGGACAGACAGTCAAACAGACAGACGGACAACGAAGTGATTCTATCCTGTCCCTTTTTTCCTTTTGAGGGACGGAACCCTAAAAATATAAGTAATGATAATTGCCTAACCTGACACAGGCAGCGCTGTGGAAAACAATATTACAATGCGCTTGTAATTCGCGACGATCGTCATTCGATATACCCAGTTCCTCCTCCAAAATATCACCAGCCACAAGCTTCACTTTGTTGAAAACTCCAGGTTGTTTCTCTCTTAGATTGTCGAATATCTAAAAGTATTTAAAAATTAGATTTGACTGCATTGATATAAAAAAAAACCAAGATACACAGTCAATCAAAAGTCTTAAGTGTCTTCAGCGTAACAAAAAAGGGTCAACTCTCTATTCAAACAGCAAAATAGGGAATATGCGTGTGATTTAAATAAAGATGAAATTTTTTTTTATTATAATCTTTATTTCTTTTTAATTAAGCCTATTTTTTATGGTAATTTCTTTTTCGTAGAGAAAATAATTATTAAGAAATGGAAATATAGATGGGAAATTAAAAGTAGTTGAAACGCACGCTATTGGTCAGACCGAATATGACGTCAGAGTATATCATAACAGAACATCATCATCGTCATTTCCTGTGTATACCTCAATTCCAAGGTCGGACGAGCCCAGGCTAATAAATTTAAATAATAAATCAAAATACGAGTTGTTGAAACGTGTTGCTTTTGTATCCACAGATGATGGGTTCATTCAACAACATTGCTTCTACAAATCATATTTTTGGTCATTTCGTAATTTTTACCTGTGAATTTTAATTTTATTTTATTTTTTTTAATGTAATTTAATTATTCATTTAAAACCGCCTACACTGTAACGACTGGATGAGTTTAGATGAAGTTTGTTACTTAGATAGATTATGAATTACGACCATACTTCTGCCTTCGTGCCTAGGCACGTGATGATGTTCTCCTAGCCGATTCCGGCTACGGCGGCCAATCTCATTGAGACTAGCCAACTGCGCAGGAGATATTATAGTGCAGTGCGTGTACGCGCAGACACAACGTGCACTCTCTATTCCTGTCACTCTCATACTCCGGTGGGACGACTGCTCGACACGACCAGTGAGAGTTAAGGCGCAGGACCGACGGCTTTACGTGCTCTCCGAGGCACAGGGGTGAAACACCGCCAACTTCCCAACTCCGGGCTGTTACTGAGACTTACTATATAGAAAGACTCAATAACTAAACTTGGCCGGACCCGGGACTCGAACCCAGGACCTCCGGGTGTGCAGCCGTACATGCTAGCCGCTACATCACCGAGGCAGTTAGTCTAGGCACGTAATGCCCGAACAAAGAGAGGGTATGTTGATAGTATAGTATAGAATATAGTTTCAATGAAAAATGCGTGTTATTTATATATTATTTATTTGATTCAATATTGTACTGCAGATTGTGGGGTAAATATTAATATGCGCATATAAATCTTGGTTCATTTACTGTATAATTAATGCAAAAGAATATATTTTGTTGGTTTGTTTACTAAATGTACGATCACACCACTATTGCGAATGAAAAAGTTTGTATGTGTGTATGTGTATGTTTATTACTCCTTTAAATCGATCAAAAAAGTACTAGAAACACAATCCCTTGTAAAAGTTCTCTTAAAACTGTCACCAATTGTGTTTAGATAATTATTGTACATAGTTGAAATAAATATACAATAATGTAAATTGAACCTTAAATAAAATACTTAAAGTTGTTTTCACAAAAAAAATATATCTCCTCAAAATATGTTTAAATGAGCGCTCATTCGGTGAGGACATTTTTTATCGCTGATTGTGTATCTATTAATTTTTAGATCGATGCTTATTCACGTTGAAACTGGACAGATTTGTATGAAAAGTATGCAGAACTATGACCTGAATGATGACCAATGAAGTGTTATAATATAGTAATAATTAAAAAAAAATATTTGTGTTTAGCCCTTTTTAAAGTCCCACGGCTGGGCGTGGGCCTCCCTTCAATACGAGGGGGATCAGGCCATAGTCCACTACGCTGGCCAAGTGCGGGCGGACTGAGCATGTCTTTTGAAAACTTGCTACGTTCTTTCAGACATGCCGATTTCCTCACCATGTTTTCCTTCACCATAGAACAAATGGTTAAAATAGTGATGATTGATGACAAAATTTTTTTTGAATTCCCATAAAATGCGGATTTTTTTCATACAAATCCGATTCGCGTTCAAAAATTTTAATTAAATTTGCACTTACTCTATTATTGCATAGCTCTTTAAGTCTGTCTGTACTCGATACACCTTTCTTCTGCCGCATCAAAAGGTACAGGGTTTTGATCCCAGGACAAGATCTTAGTAATTTTTCGACTAAGGCCTGCAAATGAAAAACACAAAAAAAAAAATAAGAAAAGGAACGATAAAAATAAAAAAAAATACAAATGGAAGTGCCTTAAAGTACTTAATCTATATTCTAGACATATAAATAAAATTAAAGTGTCTGTTTGTAATGTTGAAATTACAGCTTTTACTAAATACATATGAAATTATATACGGTACTAATAAGAAATAACATTTTTTTTAAAAATTGTCTGTCTAAATGTCTGTCTGCCTACCCGTTTGTTCCGGCTAATTTTCGAATCGGCTGGAATGATTTTGACGGGGTTTTTACTGGCAGATAGCTGACATTATAAGGAGTGACTTAGTGTTATTGTTTTAGAAAAAGAATCGGGGTTCCGCGCAAAACCTAAAAACCATGAAAAATCCGCATTCCGACATTGTCAGCATAGAAAGAAACCGTTTGCTGATATAGCTTTAAGGATTTTACATTTTCACCCGCTCTTTTAATATCTGTTTGTTACTACAAAAGAAAGTTAAAGCTTAAATAAAAGACTACCTTTCCAAGAAAACCACTTGCTCCAGTAATGAAAATAGTTTTCCCCTCATAATATTCTGTAACAGAAGGCTTCATTTTGACCTGAAACATAAAAATAAGTAATAACTATATATGTACCTCAGACTAAGGAATAATATATACAGAGTATCATAGAACTAAACATGAAGTCAGCAATAACGTTTTAAAATACAATTTAAAATTTTAAGTAAACCCTAAGACATTTTTTTCATTCTTTTTAAATTACTCGCGAAGAATAATTCTTTTAAACAGCTCTCATTGAGACAATTCTTATGAGCCCAAACACCTTTATCATAATATATAAGTATAATACTTCTGTACGTGTGTTTATTAACCTACTCCTCCTAAAGGACTAAACCGGTTTGAATGAAATTTTGTGTGTATTTCAATGGGCTCTTGGATGGTTTGAAAACACAATTGGACCCAGTAGGTGGCGCTGCTATCGGTGTGTCAAACTGTTTGTTTTATTAGTGGTTTGAATGCGCGTGAAGCCGCGGGTAATACTAGTATGGTAAGTTTCTGACCAATTGAGCATCCCGCAGAGTATTTTTAACCGACTTCCAAAAACGAGGAGGTTATCAATTCATCGGAATCTTTTTTTTTATGTATGTTCACCGATTACTCGAAGACGCCTGAACCGATTTAGAAAATGGTTGTTTTGTTTGAAAGGGTATACTTCCCAGGTGGTCCGATATAAATTTTATCGAAATCGGTCGAGCGGTTTTTAAAAAAATCAACAATAAATATATTTTTCTTTCTACAAATTACCTGCTTATTACGTCTACACTAAAAATATAAAAATAAAAACCAAAAAAAAAACCGACTTCCAGGCACTAAAATGTAAAAAATTTCTAAACTAAACTAAACGGGGGCTTTCATTTACGAGTAGAATAGATACCTAATCTTAATTTTTTAATTGAGTCGGCGATTATTATAAATAAGTAAATATGTTGGGACATTACACACAGCGCCATCTAGTTCCATGGTAAGCTACGAGACTTGTGTTATAGATACCAGATAGTTGATATACTCATTACTACTACACATATATAACTTTAAATACATACATATTATAAATATAAACACCCCTGACTAGAGTACAAACGTTCGTGCTCATCACATAAATGAATGCCCCCAGCGGGATTTCAACCCGCGACCGCTGGCACAGCAAGTAGGGTCACTACAAACAGAGCCAAACGTGTCGTCGGTCAGGTCGGTCGGCCAAATTATCTTATGTATAATTATTACAAATTTTTACTGAACGTTATGAGTCTATTAGGAGTATGAAGAAAAAGTCGTAAAAAGAACTGATGAAAGAAACGCAATTATAGGGCTAATAATTTTTTATCTTTTTTTGTAAATCTCATAATAAATAAATATTATAAATGCAAAAGGTTGGATGGATGTTTGTTATTCAATAACACCAGAACGACTTAATGGATCTGGATGAAGTTTGGCACAGAGATAGATTACAGTCTGGAATAGCACATAGGTTACTTTTTATCCCGGAAAAATGCAGAGTTTTCGTGGGATAGATTTGCTCTTGTTTTTGACTAGGGACGAACCCGAAGCAAAGCGAGGGTGAGTCGCTAGTATAATTATAAATTACAATTATTATCCAACATTGAAATAACTTGGACGATAACATCATTACCAAGGTGTATTATCTTCTATAACTATTTCAAGTTTTTTTGAATTTAGCAATAGAAGCTTTTTGCACGTTTTCGTCTATTTCGTCGGTTTTTCGGATCCTGTTTTAAAAACGTATTTGCATTTTCCTGACTAATAATCCTAAAATGTACGTCATTGCTAATCACTTAAAAGCGCTGGGCAGATTTTAATGAAACTTCTTGTATCGCACATCTAATAGATTCAATTTAAAACATTAACATTCCATTGTATAATGATTTCAAGTAACAAAATTACTTACATTTTCATCATTGTCAGGATCTAGAAAATATTTACGGCAAATATACATTGGTAACATGATTAGCAACTTTAATGAAAACGTCGGTGTTTGTTAAATGAAGTAAAAAACGGTTAAACAATTAAAATTACAATTCACCGTGACGGTGTCATGTCGTAAGATTCCTGAAATATTTTTATTTAATGGTGCATGACAAGTGTATAATAGACGGGGGGTGGATTCGATTTTTTTTATGTTTGCTATCTTTTTAAGTTCTCATGCTAAGAGGCAAAAATTCTTTTTTGGCCATATCCGTCTGTCTGTATGTCAAAGATATTTTACTCGGAAAATATATGTAAATACTATAAATATTTAGAAGCTAGGTGGCTCGTCTATATCGCGAGATAATCTCATCGTTACATTACGAAAAATAAAAAAATATGGATATCATACATACCTAACTGACAAGTGAAAAAAAACTATATTTTTTTTATTCCGAATAAATTACTGTAGTAATAATTAATATTGATTAGAATTACTTAAGCCTCTCCCATGGCTATAATTGCTGTAAAGCATTCGAAACTTTGTGAACCGGAAATCAAAATAAATCTGCCAAAAAATCCGAAAACACACTACCCTCGCTTGGCTCTGGTGCGTTTTCATTTGTCCCTAGCTTTGCGTATGACAGTTTACAATTCAAGATTTAGATACTTTTTTAATCTGTCTCTCTGTTTTGCAAGAAGACATGCTACGATATATTTTTGCCTTTGGTAAACCACATTTTTTTGGTTTCGCTTATTCTTTTTTTATGATTACGTGTGTAATAAAATCTATCTTATTAACTTCCAGATTTTTGATCGAACGTCGACTAACAAATAAACCTAAAAGTATTCATAATCGTGAAGGTTATGACGGGCACACGCAAATGGGTTGCTCCTGGTACTTTTCTGATAGCAGAATAGATCCTGGGAGGAACCACATGGTTGTTGTGGGCTGCCTCAGCAGGCGGCGGTAGAGACTTCGTGGTTGAGTGCGTAAGCGATTCTGATGGTAATGATGTTGCCTCATTAATTCTAACATAAAAAACCCATTCTTGTTACATTAAAGGAAGGGATGATTGACGTGTATTTTGCCATAGCAGAGATGGGGCTATGAAGTTTTTCGCTGCGAATGTCTACGAAACCTAGATCTCGATCTTGTTGCGATCTACATTTTTAACGCCATTATTAAATTTATTTTGAACTTTGTTGTGATAAATGTATTGACCAAATTTAATTGCTCGGACAGTGGTTCCTGCTGCTGGGTCAGGAGTTTCCCGGGAGACATCCATACTAATATTATAAATGTGAAAGTGTGTTTGTTTGTTTGTTTGTTTCTCTGTCTTTCTTTCACGTCGAAACGGCTTGGCGGATTGGCGTGATTTTTATATGGAGATAGTTGGAGGGCTGGAGAGTGAAATAGGCTACTTTTTACCGCGGGAGATTATCTCATTCCCATGGGAAAACACGTTATAAGACAACACAAAAAAATATTTATGGTCAGAATTACTTGAAATTAGTATTAATGCTCTTCAATACAATTAAATAAATAAGTGTTTTAGCATTTTTCGCAATTCATCCTATAAGGGGTAAAATAGTTGATGAAAGTTTGTATGAACCCGAACTTTTTAGAGTTTTTTCGTAGTTTAGCGCGAGTGAAGCCGCGGGTTCTGCTAGTATACAATAAAAGGACTCTTGTACTCTTCTGTATAAAATTTAGGATGTTCTAGGGAAGGAAGGGTGTAAATATGTTGAATTGAAGGAGGTACTATGGATAGATCAATAATGCTTTTTTTTGTTTAAGGAGTCGGAGTTACTAGGAACTTCCTCTCCCTGACGTTTCCTATACAGAGATACAAGAGGTTATGGAAGTAAAGGAGAACAACAAACACACAGTACTTACACAAACCAATCACCAAGTTAGTTATATAGAAAATACAATTAAATTCACTTAAATCTCACAAATACGTGTATTAACCACACATTATATATGTTTTAATGAAATTTAATGTTTAAATATTAGTTTTAATGAAAGTCCAGATTTGCGTAAGTAACCTATATTGTTAGAAGGTTAATTATGTAATATGTATATGTAGAGTTGCCATACGTCCCGTAGATATGGGACTATCACCGTATTTAATCCCTCCGCGACCGCGGACACGCCGGCGTTATAGTTAACAATGGATTTCTTAGAAATTTAATTAATTTCTTAGAAATTTACCTGGAGGTGTTAAACATGCCCTTACATATTTGCCTCGTTATTCGACGTTTCCGACAAAATATGGAAATGGCTCGAGCTGATAATAAAAACACAGCATGTAGAAGAAAAGTGGCTAAAGTTTTTTGCAGATACAAAGCATTTTGAGCAAAAGTCATGCTTGTTAAAGCCGTGTGAATATGTATTTGCAATTTCTGCACACAACGCAAATGTAGAAAAAATATTTTCATTGATGACGGATCAACGGACGGACGGACGGACCAATTGACTCCATATTGATTTGTCACAATAATTTTAAAATGACATGCCCAGATCTTAGTTTATATTAAGGAGTTTAGTTTAATTTCTATTAAAAAGTAGCGCATACCCTCGCTTCACTCGGGTGCGTCCCGAGTTACGTTTTAATTTTTTTGAGCGGAACATAATTCTTTTTCTAAAATAAAAGTAGCCTAAGTTACTCTTTATAACATCAACTATCTACCAGTGAAAGTCTCGTCAAAATCTGTCCAGCTGTTTCAGAGATTAGCCGAAACAAACAGACAAAAAAATTTAAAAGTATGTTTTTCTTATAAGTACCGTATATAATAATTACAAATACACGTTATGGCAACCCTATGTGGTATATATTTAACGATTTTACTATTCATTCCAGTTTAATGTTTTAAACATGTTTTTAGTAAAATTGTAGTGTCATGGACATTGTATAATAAGAGCCTCAATTCTTACTTAAAACGCGAATAAAAACATTTCGAATAAAAGTACAGATTTTTCGCGAATGTATTTCAGGTTTTTAAAAACCCAAAATAAAATCAACCAAACATTTGAACCAATTTCTTAATTCATTCTACTGTATTCTACTGTTCTACATCACCAGCCCGCTTTCATCGATTGCTAG